AGGGCGGGTCGTTTTCAACATGTGGCTCTCGCTCTAGCGCCGCGCACATTCTTTTTGTACACGATTGCAAGACTTTCACGGATTGAGGGCGGCTCCTTTTGCAAAATGTGGTTATCGCTTTAGCGCCGCGCACATTCGTTGTAAACAATTGCAAGAATTTCACGGGCTCCCATGAGCAGCGTACCAAAAATGGTGTTTTGGAAGGATTTCGGATTATGCAGGTGCAACGGTCATGTTATGTTGATTCGCGGTGTTGAAATCTGGCGCTATGGCACGACTTTGGATCGCCAGCACGCAGCAGTCAGGTTGATACGCGGCGTTGAAATCCCGAAACCAATGTTTTGGCATGCCTCAGGATCTTCAAACGGCTGTCTTCCAAGGGGGCAGTTCCCTCAGTGGAAATGAACCTCTGTAGGGCCTTTATTCCAACATCGTTGATGACTCTTGGGTTTCCACTGGTCCTCCTGTTCCCCCTGCTCCTCCTCCCCCTCCACCACCACCTCCTCCTCCTCCTCCTCCTCCCTCTCCTCCTCCTAACGACTCACAACTTTTTTGCGTAGCCCAAGACTCCTGAGGCTCAGAGCCCAGTACCACAGTGTCCCTTACTTCGCTAGGTCCGGCCTCCCAGCGGGGGACATGTTCAACGATTTGTATGTGAGTCTATAATATCGAAGCCTTCGATCACTTCACCTTGGACTACCCTCGGGTGCATCTGGCGTCGTATGTGGATGATAACTCTCTCACCGCGGTAGGTGACAACGATAATGAAGTACTCAGTAGGATCTCGCAGGCTGCCGCGGCCATGCACATCATCTTTCGGGACTACCTTCATGTGCAAATGCAAGCGGACAAGCTCACGACGTTCGCGAGCTCGCTCCCGTTGGCTCGGAAGCTGGCCAGACTGCTTGGCGGCATTGCATGCTCAGTGACGGCTAGTGCTGTGGTGTTAGGTAGCGAGCTTGCGATGGGACAAAAGCATCTTGTAGAAACGGGCTTTGGAAGCGTAAGCAGAGGGCCCACCGTATGCGCCAACGCCATTGGGTCCTCCAGAGATGCCGTGAGTGTTTGCCCCGTCAGAAGGGTCGCATTGGAAGGATCTATGTTGCTGGCGTTTCCCCTGCTCTGACGTTCGGAGCCCCCATTACCGGCCTCAGCGATAGCGAGGTTCGACAGGCCCAGAGGGTGATGTTAGCGTATAAGCCCCCCTATCATAAGGGAACCTCGTTCCATAGTAAGTTGGCTTTCTGTGGCGACCCAGTTTGGAGGGCGGCTGTTGCTCCGGCGTTGCATTGGCCTCACGTGGTCTGGCAAGCCCTGACTAGCCCCGACACGTCCCACTACACCATCAAATATTTGTGTTTCATGTGGGCTGCGGTTCCGTTTGATGAAGGGGTGACCTGGAAGAGTTCACGCGGGCCCAGTCAGAGAATTCACCTTTTCTTTGAACCGTATAAGCTGGCAGTCTACGTCGGCGCTCACTTGGACCGACGACGCTGGGCGAACAGTCCATCTCTCGTATAATTCTCCTGCGTTTGTTTGGCAGCTTTTGCAGCTGGCCACCCAGCGCCACCACGAACGAGTTCTTGCTGAGCTCATCCTTCCTTCGGTGGCCATCGAGATTGTACGGAACCCCTCGTTCGGGCCTTGGGACCAAAATCCAAGGATCTGACCTCTACGGAAAACTACCTGGCTCTCACAGGGTTCTGCTCAGGCGTGTGGACGCGCGCGCGGGCTAAGGCAGCTGACTGCGACAGCGACGGCAAATGCCTGCTCTGCGGCCAGCCAGATGGCGTTCGCCATCGCGTATGGCTTTGTGGTCGTCCAGATGCGGTTCGTGCCAGACAAGACGCTGTTGGAGATCAGCGCAGCTGGCTGCGCGAGGCGGTCGAGAGCACGGACCGCTGCTTCTGGGCACGAGCTCAAGTGGGAGCATCCAGGGCACACATTCCCCCCTCCGTTGACCAACCCCGACCCGGTTTTGCTTAGCCCCCAAGGCGACCTGATTCCTTGGGACTCCTCAGGTCTTCGGGGCCTGGACGTGTGTTTTGACGGTTCTTGCTCTCGACACGTTATTCGAGACTTGTCTCGTGCTGCATTCTGCGTGGGTTCTTCTCGATGCGGCAGGAGACATTGTGGCTTTTACGCTAAAGGAGCGGTTTGGGACGTGTTGCAGCAGGCGCCGCAGGCCGCCGAGCACCAGGCTGTTGCAGTGTTTCCTCTCTTCGTCCAGTATAATGGCGGCAGATATCCCGATTGTGCCACCGTCACTAAGTTGTGTAACGCATCCCGTCAGCATCAGGTGTCACATCGGCACAAGTATGCTGGCATGCGAAGGGGCTTGCGTGAGAAACGAGACCACGATTTCAGTACGTACCACACCCCCGCCCGTCGGTCTCAGGCGGTGTTGGACAGTCTCCCAGGACCTGAAGAGGATGATCGGCGTGGAACATCTTAATGCGGACCTCTTGGCTAAGCAAGCCCTGCTTCTCCACCCGCGACCCCCCGAGGCCCTGTATAGTGATGCTAGCAAGTACATAGGTAAGCTCACATTTGCGGCTAAAGCCATGGCTGAAGTCTTATGTAGCTTCCCTCAAGAAACAAATGAGAGGCCGCCTAGGGAACAGCGGTGTCGATTCCTCAAGGCTGGAGGCTGGCACGCTTGGGAAGCCTTAGATAATGGCCAGGCCAGGTGTTTGAGATGTTTGCGGTTCTGGGGCGACCCTGGAACTCGCCCTACGCTCGGTTGTAAAGGTCCCCCCAGGACGTGGCAAGGTGTGTGGGACTTCTCCAAGGGGCACGTTTTGGCCCACATTCGCGTGCCCCGAGGAGATACAGTTTCTACGCTTTTCTTCTGCACGGCGTGCGGAGCCTATACGGCACGTCGGTGCTTTAGGCTCGGTGAGGGCTGTCCAGGCCACAGGCTTCCTGGGGGTAAGACTACGTTGCCGAGAATATGCCGGGCCTCCGTCCTCGTTATAGGAACGTGGATGCGAGGACGTCCCGCTCGTCTAGGCGGGGCGTGATTTGTTCGTGCCATGCTGCGCAGACGCCTCCGCCTGTTGTGACGTGGCCAGGCCCGCGTCGTCGCAGCAGCACTCGGGCCTCTCCGCCCGCCCTCCGAGAAAGAAAGGATGGCGGCCCTGCTTGCGAGAGCGCGGGCCCGTGAAGCGGCATCGAGGGCTGCAAACGCGGGCTAAGGCAATTTGTTGTGCCTCATATGTGGCTACACCCTAGGCGATGCTTAAGAAAACTTAAGTTTTTGGCGAGAGTCTCGATTGTTCTTAATGTTTCAATGTAAATCCTAAGATGTTGATAGAAGTTCTGGGTTTTTATTCAAATTCTGAGACTCTGAGTTTCTTAACCCATGATGTCTTAAGCATTTCGCAGGGTGTAAACTGTTGCCGCCTCTGCTGGCTCTTCAGTCTCGAGCTCAACGTTGCCGTTCGGGCCAGATGGGGTCCATTTCTTTGCCCTTGGCGTGCGCTCTCCGCGCGCAGGCGCGTGAGGCTGCAAACGCTGTTGGCTCTTTTGTCTCCAGCTAAACGTTGCTGACTGGTTCCGCCCGTTCGGCCTGCAGACGAAACAAAAATCCTCCTCCTCCTCCTCCTCCTGCAGCTGCCAGCAGGGGTGCCAGCAGCAGCTGCGCCTCGCCGAGGTCGTCCAGGGATTCCCGGATCGTCCCGAACGGACGCTGGAGACCCGAGTTATGACTCAAAAGCAAAATCCTGTGGCGAGCGAGGGGGAGAAGCGAGAAGGAAAAGGTCTTTCCAGAAGGCGGTGGGGCCTCGGGCCTTCCGAAAAAGTTGGCTACGTATTCGGGGAAGGCTTAGGACAGTTCTCTGAAGGCTGGGGGACTTCCGAGCCCTCTGAGAAGGCCCGCCCCTTCTCACTGCCCCCCCCCCGGGCTTGTCGCTGAGCATCAGTACCCCGGGCTTGTCGCTGAGCATCAGTATCATTGCCAGAGTCACCGTTCAGGCGACGCCGTGCCTGCCCTTGACCCTGAGCCTCGGTCACGAGGTGCTCCACTTGGGTGCGCCAGAGTGACAGCGCGAGTGAGTGAGTGAGTGACAGAGGAGAAGGCTGAGGAGGAGCGAGCGAACCCTCTGGTGCGTGTCCGAGGTGGCTACAGTTAGTCGTGCACCAGAAGCGGCCTTCACAGGCGAGGACTTCGGTTTCCGGGGCCCTGTCTGCTGTCCGCGTGGCTGCACAGGGGTGCGAGCGAGCGAGCGCTAGCGGACGCCCACCCGGGTGCTCTTCAGGTGTGTGTGTGTGTGTGTGTGTGTGTGTGTGTTCGAGGCTTGCGTGCTCCAAGCCTGGCCAGGTCGCTTGGGGGGAGGAGGCTACGGAGGCGAGGCGGTGCGGGCGGCTCGGCAGGGAGGGCCCGTGCAGATTCGGAGGGGGAGCAGCGGTGGGGGGAGGGCTACCCGCGCAGGCGCTCGCAGTGAGCGGGGGTTGGCACGGAATGTAATACTCGCATTCGGGGGTGGTGGATCTGAGGGGTATACCCCCAAACCTTCATCACACACTCATGAGACTGGCTGGGGTCTATTCTATCGAAACATCCAGGCAGGAGGAAGAGGAGGAGGAGGAGGAGGATGAGGAGGAGGAGTGGGAGGAGGGGGAGGAGGAGGAGGAGGAGGAGGAGGAGGAGGAGAAGGAGGACGAGGAGGAGGAGGAGCAGCTACCCCGGGTCGAATTTTGGAGGTAATGTCCCAGCGGTCCCGCGCACGATGCTGGGAGGGCTTGGGCGGGCAGCACTCCTCCTCCTCCTCCTCCTCCTCCTCCTCCTCCTCCTCCTCCTCCTCCTCCCTCTCCTCCTCCGAGTTGCGCAGAGGACCGGCGTGGCACGCGAGGCGGGCACGGCGAGGGAGGATGCGGTCGATGGGAGGCGGGGGCGGCCTTTTGGAGGCGGAGTGCGGGGAGGGCACGGCACGCCGGTGGCATGCCGAGGGGGTGGCGGAGTGCGCCTCGGCCCGGCCCTGCCTCGACGGGGCGCGGGAGGCATTTGCGGTGACTGGACTCCAACAACTCACCGGATTTGTCCTGATGATGGACCGCTCCCTCCCTCTCTCTCGTTCTCGCTTTCTCTCTTCCTCTCTCGCTCTCTGTCTTCTGTCGTGCCTCGCCTGCGCTCCCCCCCATCTCGTCTTCGGTTCTCCGCCGCCTGCCTGGCTGCCTGCCTCCTCATGTCTGCGTCTCGTTCTGCAGTGAGTGTCAGGGGAAGCAGGGAGGGAGGCACGATGCCATGTCGGGTCCCCTGGCGGTATGCCAGTGTCCTAACCAAGCCTAGTGCCTTGGATGCAGGCCGCGGCTTTCTTTGTCTCCACGTGTGTAGTGACGAACTGCTAGCTGCGCCTCTCGTTTTTTCGGCCCACACGCCAGGCACCCCTGCGATGAATCGACAGGGGGCGGCGGATGTTAGTGGCTTTCCCGCCACCATGCCCGGGTTGTGGGTCTGAGGCCTCTTGTATATGTGTTGGTGTGCTGTGGGGAGCCTCTCGGAGGCTTCTTGGAGGCAGTTTGGGCATCTCTTGGTGGCCTCTTGGGGCCTGGGGCTTCTCGGGCCACAACTATAACATGTTCGGTTCGTGGTCCCCTGCTTGGGCCCCTCTTGGGGCCCTCTTGGGCCGTCTTGAACGCTTCTTGGGCCATCTTGGAGCACTCTTGGGCCGTCTTGGGGCCCTCTTGGAGGCCTCTTGGACTGTCTTCGGGCGGTCTTGGGCGCTTTTTGAGCCGTCTTGGAGCGTTGGAAAGCAGACGATGCGAGAAGGCCCAAATTCTTCGAAAACCTTCGTCAAATCTACCATTTTGGCTTCTTGGGGCCTCTCTCGGGAGGCCTCTTGGAGCGCTCTTGGGGCCGCTTGGTGCCCTCTTGGGCCGTCTTGGAACCATTTTCGGGTGCCTTGGAGCCCTCTTGGCCTCGCTTCTGGGATGCGACACTTGCATACTTCACGGGGTTTTGTTGTTTCGGGGACGCAGAACTTGTATCATTTGCCGGGGTTCGTGGCCTCGCAAACGCGAACCTTGCCTAATTGTTGATGGATTATGGCCTCGGGGGCGTGATACTCAAGTATTTTTACGTGTCTCACGCCCCCCCCCGGGAATTCAGAGCACGCGATCCGAGGGTGGTTAATTGTTGGTTTTTGGGTTCCCCTCCCCTCTCGCGGGCTTCAACAATTTGCAGCAGGAAGCAGAAAGCAGGGCTGTAGCATTGATTGGAGACTTGCAACTGCATCATGCGCAGGGAGCAGCAACCTAATTAGCCCTACAGCCTCGTGGCCCCACAAGGGGGCAGGCGGATGTACCTGGGCGCTTACTAAACAGCCCTGTCTTGTTCGATTCTTTTCTCGGGTTCGTTGGCTAAACGGCTTCGCTTGTCGTGGTGCTCAGTATGAGGGTGTTTGTCCTGCTCCCTACTTCAAAACAATTCATCACGCTTCGCGTATCCCCACCAGCCCGTCCAGGAACGACGCCCAGGCGAGTAGAGGGTCGTCCTGATGGGCTTTTCGGTGTCTTGGGTGCCTCGGGGGGGCCTCTTTGGGCCGTTTGGGATCCTCTAGGGGGCCTCCTGGGGGCCTCTTGGGGCCATCTTGGGGCCCCTTGGTGCCTCCTGGGCGCTTCTTGGGGCCATCTTGGAGGAAGGCGATCAAAGAAGAGGGGAGCTTTCATTAGCGCTGCCCCCTCAGAAGGCCAAAATGGGGCCAAAACCTTAGTAAAATCAATGATTTTGGCTTGAAAGAAGAGGGGCGCTTTAATTAGCGCTGCCCCCTCAGAAGGCCAACATGGGGCCAAAACCGTAGTAAAATCAATGTTTTTGGCTTCAAAGAAGAGGGGGTATTTTTTCTCCCCCCCCCCGTCGGGGCCAGAATCCTCGTGAGGGGTGTCGTTTTTTAGCCCTCCCAGGAGTCGAAAAAGACCCCTCCAACCACCCGCGAAAGGACCTCTCCAGGTCCAGGGGGAGGGGGTAGGGGGAGGGGTAAACCCCTCCCCGAAGGGGAAAAAGGGGGTTGAGAACAGAGCGGGCTCTCTAAACCACTCACGCCCAAAGGGCTGGTGGGATTTGAGAAAGCACGTGCCTCTTAAGGCACCGTGCGCCATATTTCTAGAATTTCTGTGCGCGCACTTTCTCAACAGTCTCACCAGCGCCATCGCGCCACCGCCGTTATCGCCATCGGCAATAGCACCATTACCGTCTTCATCAGCACAATCACCTTCATCACCGACGCATGGACATCACCATTGTCACCGTCATAACCAGCATCGGCGCCGTCGTTGGCCTTGTCGTCGTCATCGTTCGGCATCATCGCCACCACTACTGCTATCACCGTCATGTTTACCGCCGATGTCGGCGTCCTCATGATACCGCGCCCGCCCAGGTCACCGACCCGCACTGGAATGCTCGCGCTCCAGCGTTGCTTTTGAGACGCTGGGAAGTTCGCATCGGTAAGGGCCCATCGTGGCCGCATCGGGTGTGCCAAACCAGCTGGCCGCTCTGCGCGCGAGTGTACGCGCTCCAGCGCGGCCGCAGAGGTGCGAGAGCACATGCCAATCAATAGCCGCAGATGTGCCCGAATGAGTTTTGCCGAAAGAGCTGCTGGGGGGGGCTGTTTGCGAGAGCAGCGAAGTTCTCCACAGTTCTCATTTGAATAATTGCCATTTCCCGACCCCGATCGTATCGATCCACCGTTGGACTTTACAAAACTCATATGGTTTGCACCGTCGTGCATTTTCCCTTGTTGCCCCGGTGGGATCATACCATCCCAGACTGTCAAGTCTCGCCCCCCCTCATCACTGTCAAATATTTCTTTGCGTGCGCATTTTAGTCAATTGCAAAACATTGTGTTCAATGCCCCAGCAACAAGAATTGCACAACGTCCACGTGCGTGCACATGTGGACTTCATATCAATGCGTCAGTCGTGCAAGCGCTCCTACATATCACGTCAAACCATCTTCTGGGTTTTCATGACAGTTCGCGCAGCCTGCCCGCGCGTATTTCCCGAAATCATGCGAGCATTATTTGATGTCATAATTTCGTCCAGAATCCATTTTTTGATCTACCCACATTCTCATCTCACCACGCGGTGCACCCGCATCGGTCGCGTACGCACCCGGTGCACGATTCCGCACCAGACAGTACAACGTGGGCCGTCCGTGCGTGCCGCCACTCGAGCGTGTCGAAGTCCTTCATGCACCTTCGGTTTTCGACGCATCTCACGATGAGCTTGTCAAAATCATATGACAATGTCAGCGTTTTCCAGCACCGTCTGCCAGGCTTCTTGCTCCTCCGCGCGCACTTCCTCACCATCACCTCATGAACGCCGCCGCATCACGTCCTCTTCGCCGACACTCGCGGCCACTGCCGCCATCATGCAAGCAACTTCAGCACCGACGCATGAACATCATCCTTGTCGTCGCCATCACCTCCATCGGCGCCGTCGTTGGCCTCGCTGCCGTCATCGCCATCCTCCTCAGCACCACCGCTGTTGCCGTCCTCTTTGGCCGCCGTTGCCGACGCCATCACGACGCCACGCCCGTCCGAGTCGCCGACCCGCACTGAGTTTGACCGCGCGCCAGAGCGGACTTCGAGACACGCTGGGAGGGCGCCACTGGCAAGCGCTGGTGCGGCCGCACCGGTCGTGCCGGGCCCGCCGGCCTGCGCTGCGCGAGCGAGTGCGCCCGCGCCCGCGCGGCGCGGCCGCAAGTGTGCGCCCTGGGCAGTGCCGGAGAGCCGCCGTGGGCGCGGCCGGACGGTCGTGCAGCGCAAGCTGCGGGCGGGAGGGTCGGGCGAGTGCGCGAGCAGGGGAGTTGACAGCTCATTCGTTCGGAGGCCGATCGGCCTCTGACCCCGACGCGTCGACGAGTGGACTGGCCATTCTCGGTCCGCGAGAGGGCGTCGCGGCCGTTCGCTTTCTGCGGGTCCGGGTCCGTCGGTTTCGGTGCCAGGCCGGTTTCAGTACAGGGGGGTATGCGAAAGGGAGGCTTCAGCGCCGATGAGCGAGTAGTGTCTCTCCCATGTATGACACCATTGACATCGCACGTCGAAGGGGGCAATAACTCATCGCTCGGGGCCCACGCTGGGGAACAGTGGTATTTGAGAGTAGAGGTTCGCAAAATTGTAGCAACGACGCCCTTTCTCCACTGGGCCCAGATGTCGGCAACCGCGCCGCCCGGTCGTCCTGTTCGTCTGTGTTGGAGTGGCCGTCTCTGTTTGTGGTGTACACGCGTCAATTGATACGCGCGTGTGTGAGTGTGCTGTTTTTGTCGGATGTTTGCGTTCTATCTTTTCCAAGCATGTCACTGTGCTCGCCCACGCTGTTCGTCAATATTTTGGGCGCCCTGGTCGTTCGGTCGTTCGCTGCGGTTTCTCTTCTCGCCTTCGCCACCCGCCATTCTCCAAATGTAACGACTACGAGCATGGCGGGGGTGGGTCGTGTCGGTTCGGTGACGACCTTGTTGTGGGCTGGAACCCATGTCTCTGGTGATAAGGTCCGACAAGCAGGTCTGACGTTGGCCGATCATTGTCATGCCTTTCTCTCCCACACACTTTCTTTGTCTCTTTGTGTTGTTCTGCCTCTCTTTTCCTTTTTCTTTTCCTCACCTCTTCTCCCTAGCCTCTCCGCTTCCTGCTGCGTTTTTTCTTGCCATCTCGTGCGCAGGCCTGGATGGCCTTGTCCAGATGTACGCCCTACCGGTACGTCCCAAAGAAGCTGACATCGCGGACGGACTACTTAGCGGTCTGGCATTTTGGGGCGGAAGCGCGAGTCGTGTGGAGGGGTTCGGCATGCCAGGAGGGACAGCCCGTGCCAGCACTGGCACGAAGGACGAGGAGGAGGAGGAGGAGGAGGAGGAGGACGATGAGGAGGAGGAGGAGGAGGAGAGGAGAGGAGGAGGATTAGGAGAAGGAGGAGGATTAGGAGGAAAAGAAGGGGAGGAGGAGGAGAGGAGGAGGAGGAGGGGAGGAGGGGAGGAGGGGGGGAGGAGGAGGAGGAGGAGGGGGAGGGGGAGGAGAAGGAGGAGGAGGAGGAGGCGGATGAGGAGGAGGACACCGCAGGAACCATCAGCACCACCAGCACCGGCTCCGGGCACCACCGGCCTCGCCACTGCCTCTTTGGCTCCGGCGCCAGGGCCCAGCATCGGGCACCGGAGGCGCTGGGCAGCAAGTTGCGAGCGGCAGTCGAAGCAGGGTGCTCCTCGTTCTCCATTTCCCTGTCCTCGTCCTCCCCCTCCTCCGCCTCCTCCTCCCTCCACCTCCTCCTCCTCCTCCTCCACCTCCTCCTCCTCCTCCTCCGCCTCCTCCCCCCCTTTGCATCCTCCTCGTCCTCCTCATCCGCCTCCTCCTCCTCCTCCTCCTCCTCCTCCGGCTCCCCCTTCTTTCCTCCTCCTCCTCCTCCTCCTCCTCCTCCTCCTCCTTCTCCTCTAGGGCGAGGGCAGCAGAAGCTCGCCCGAGGAGGACGCACGGCGTCTCGAGTTCCTCCCAGAGCTTGCCGCACGGATGGTGGCCTGGCATTTTCTGCGCGGGCTTGGGGCTTGGGGCAGCACGTCCAGGCTGCCCATCTCGATCCGATCGATGCTGATGGGCCTGTTTTCCACCACCACCACCACTATGAGTTTGATGGGGGAAGGAGATGGAGGATGAGGAGGAGGAGGAGAAGGAGGAGGAGGAGGATGAGGAGGAGGACCCCCTCCCCTCCTACTTCTGGTGGTGGCGGTGGGAAACACGCCCACCAGATGCGATTCGGCATCGGCTCTTTCCGGCTTGACCCGATTTGATTCCGACGTGCCGACGATCCGCTGCGGCCCGATGTTGGCACGAGTCCGTCTGTGCATCCTGAACGCGGCCGTGTCGATGCGATTCCGACTGTGTCGGCCTGGCTCGAATGCGCTTTTCCGATCGGATCCGCCGATTCGGTGCCGGCGGCTCCTGACCGGGTCGGGGGGCGAGGGGAGGTCCTCCTCTTCTCCTGTGCGTTCACCGCGAACATCGCCCTGAACAACTACAGCATGGCCCTGATACCCATCTCGGAGGGGCCTTCGAGGGAGGGGGCAGGGAGGTCGGAGGTTGATATCAGGAGCGGCGAACATCCTGCGCGGCGCGCCTATGCTAGAGCCGTTTCCTCGCTTGAGTAAAGCCGCTCTTTCGCTACAGCCGCTTCGTCGTTTTTGTAGAGTCCGCCGTCTGTTTTAGTAAAACCCTGGGGATGCGGTGATGATGCGGGGCCAGGGCCCGGTCGGAGGGCGGGGGGGGCTTGTCTTTCCTGCCAGTTCACCCTGCGATGCATTTGCTCGAGTAATCAGGGTCGCATTGCATCGGGTCGCAGCGACCATTGGGCATGTTTTCAGCGAGTTGTATATTCTCCTTGACAGAGGATTCATGGCGCGAGCGCAGGACATGGCTCGGCAATCCGGGCGCGCCGCCGCGGTTGTCGCGCAACAGAGCAACAGCACTCCACTAAAAGGCTTGCTTCCTTTAGCAAAGGGTTTCTTCCAAGTGATGCGAACTTTCCGCTTCCAAGTCGCGAGGAGCAGAAGAGAAGAGGAGGGCGGAGGGGGCGCGAAGAGCGGACCAAACGTCATCGTCCACTCGCGGCTCGAGCCCGACGCCATCAGCTCCGGAGGAGGCGCGGGACAAACGCGACCCCAACGTTGTCAGCTACGAGAATGGCGCGACGAAGCACGAACCCAACAAGGTCAACTATGATGGTGGAAGCACAAGCCCGACGACAGCAGCTACGGTGCCAGAAGGGACGGCAGGGGCGGCCAAGGCGCTTGGGCGGCAGCGGCAGGGGCGGCAGTGGCAGCTCTGGTTGTGGCAGCCCAGACGGCGGCAGTGGCAGCCCAGGGTAGTGCCAGTCCTCGCAGTGGTGGTGGTGGCAGCTCAGGCAGTCGCAGCTCAGTGGCCGTGGCGGCAGTAGCAGCTCAATTCAGTGGCAGCCCAGGTAGTAGCAGCCCAGGCGCAGAGCAAGAAACGCCGCCACCTCCAAATCACGACATACAGGCGGTGTTCGTCACGGCGCACAACCGATTCATAGCACGACGGCCCGAGGTGGCATTCAGGGCGTATCAGAAGATCTACAAAACCGCTGCTCACACCATGCGGCATCCTGGTGCCCAGCGCCTGAACGAGAGCATCGCTATCTTCCTCAAGGACGGGCAGTGTTGTCTGACAGCGACGCAGGGGGGCAGGAGGACGAGGGCAGGGTGCTGGGGCACAGGTGCACGCTAAACAAGCGCAGCGGCACGCCGCAGGCCAGCCGCGGTGCAGGCAGGGAGTGCGAGAAGGGACAGCAGTGGCAGCAGACGGGCGTGGACGAGCCGATGTAATCAGCTGCGAGCCAGGTCTACATAGGAAACTGGTCTTACGACGTCGAGTGGCGCGACCTGAAGATCTAAAACGCCACGTAAAGCAGGCGGGCGGCGTGGAATTCTGCAGAGCGTTCCCAGATGACGGGGCCGTTTGCGGCATATTGTTCGGATTCGGTCAGGTACCTTTTTTCCAGACAGGGAGGCTAAAATGGCCATAGCCACCCTGGGCGAGACGGAGCTCCACACCCGGAGGATCCGGGTTCGGGCGTGGTCTGGCGCAGAGGGGCGTGGTTTTCCGCGTGCGTAGAGTATCGGTGGTGGCACAGTGTGAGGGGAGCTGGATTGGCACAGCCTGCGATCTGAATAAATTCCTGCCTGGAGCGAGCCGGAGGGGGAGGAGGAGGGGCGGAACCCAGCGGCATGGGCGGGGGCCTCGAACGCCCGGGCGCGGGCCGGCTGCCTGGGGGAGCCCCGATGGAGGTGCGCGAGAGAGAGAGAGAGAGAGAAAGAGGAAACGGAGGAGGAGGAGGAGGAAGAGGATGAGGAAGAGGAAGAGGAAGAGGAATAGTAATAAAAAACATATTTTGAAAAATAAGAATAATAAACATAAGAATAAGGAGAATTAGAAGAAGACGACCAATCAGACGAATAATAAGAATATTACTAATAAGAAGAATAAGCAGCATAATAATCATACTAAGAATAAGAGTAATACGAATCAGAACAATAATACCATTAATAATCATCATATCAATAATGATAATAATAAGCGTACTAATAATACGAATAATAACAATAATAATACTAATTTCTATTATTATTAATCATGATAGTACTACGAAGAAGAATACGAATAATAATAATCATAAGAATACTCATCATAATAAGAAGAATACGAATAATACTAATAATAATACGAATACTACTACTAATAATACTAATAAGAATAAGCATAATAAGAATACTACTAATAATAAGAAGACTAATAAGAATAACATTAATAATAACAATAATAAGAAGAAAACTAATAATACTAATAATAAGAAGAAAACAAATAAGAATAACAATAACCATAATAATGATAATAATACTAAGAAGGATAAGAATAATAATACGAAGAAGAATAATAATAAGAATACTAATACGAAGAATAATACGAATAATAGTAATAATGATAAGAAGAATAACAATAATAATAATACGGGATTAATAATCTCAAGAATAATAATACTAAGAAGAGGAGGAAGAGGAGGAGGGCGATGTCGTCGACGAGGTCGGCGACAACGACGAGGAGGACGAGGATGGCAGCGGCGGCGGGGTCAGCGGCGGGGGCCCAGGTGAATCTCATCATCCGGTCGTGCTTCCCGCTGCCCACCTTCCTCGCCCAGAAGCTGGCGGGGGCACAGGGGGAAGAGGGGGGGGGAGGGGGAGGGGGAGGGGAGGGGGAGGGAGGAGGAGGAGGAGGAGGAGGAGGAGGAGAGGAGGAGAGGAGAGGAGGAAGGAGGAGGAGGAGGAGGAGGGAGGAGGAGAGGAGGAGGAGGAGGAGGAGAGGAGGAGAGAGGAGGAGGAGGAGGAGGAGGAGGAGGAGGAGGAGGAGGAGGGGGGGAGGGCTGGCTGGCCGGCCCCAGCGCACCGCGCGCGAGGAGCGGGGCCTGCCGCCGGCCCCGCACCGCCTTGCTTGTCGAGAGGGCGCCCGCGGCAGAGCCACCGCGGTGCCCCGGCCTGTTCGGCCATGCGCACGTGTGAGCGTCGGGGGCCCCCAAACTCGGGGACGGCCAAGAGGGGGGTGATGACCAGGGGGGGGTGGATATCATGGCGGGGGCCATGATGTTTCCCCAGATTTCATGGCGCCTCTTCTTATTCCATTGCGTCCCTGGTCCCCCCGCACGGCCGCGCACGTGCCGCACGTGCCGCCCATCTTAGACACCCCCCTCTTGGCCGCTCCCGACAAACGGGGTGGTGACCACACCGTGTGGTGAGTCGGTGGGGATTCGGGGCCACCGCACGGTTTTGGGACTCGGGTCGTTCTTCGAGGACGTCTCGGGCCTTTGGGGCATCCGAGGTCCCAAAACCGTGCTCTGACGGACCGTGCGGTGAGGTCTTGGGGGATTTCGAGGTCACCGCACGGTCCGTCACCGTACCGTTTCGGGTTTCCAAAGATCGTTTTCTTATTTATTGTTTTGCCGATCCGATCGGCGCGGGCCCTCGCCCCCCCTTCCCACCCTCACCCCTGGAGTAGATCTTGTTTGTTGTTGGCGCATGTTTCGAGCAGGTGGAGCCTCCCCCATGAGAAGCACTGCTGCAAGCAAGCGCTTTGAGCAGAAGTCCAGAGCCAGACCCCCCCCTCTCTTCTGCCCAATGTCGAAACGCTTGATAAGAAAAAAACGCTCACCATGTCATGGCGCCAACATCGCAGAGCGGATTTCGTTCGGAAGCCACTGGGATGGGCCCGGATTGTCCTGGAGGATTTCGCAACGGATTTCGAAGCGATTTTCGTGCGGATTTTTTTGGGGGGCCAGGAGTGAAGAACAAAACAAACCGCGTGAAATTCACTTCGTTCTTCGCTCGCCGTTTCGGGTCTTTGCACTGGCATAAATGCACGCACAAATCCGCTGCAGCACGTCGGCAAGGTCGGTGCAGTGGCACATGGGGGGGGGTACGAGGAAGGGGGGGAGGTTTCTTAGAAGGGGGCTGTTTCTTAGAGGCGTGGGGTTCGTGGATGGATGTGAGGGGGGAGTGGGGAGGGGGAGGACTTCTTAGAAGGAGGCTGGTTCTTAGAGGCGTGGGTCTTGTTGGGCGCTTTTTTAGAAATAGCCTCCTTCCAGTATCTTTTCCCCCCATACCTTCCTGTGCGCGCCGCCAAGGAGAGCCACAGCAGCGCCCCTGCCTTTTTGTCGGGGGTTCCTCGAGGGGGTTTGTCCCACGGCGGGCTTAGGGGAAGAACCCAGTGTGATGTTCACATCTCCTTCTTCCACGGGCCACTCGGAGTGTTTTTTATGTTTAGCCCCACCCCTACCCCAGCCCCTTTTCTACGTGCACGCTTTGCTTTCCCCTGGGGCCGTAGGCGACCCGAGGAGGAGGAGGAGGAGGAGGAGGAGGAAGAGGAGGAGGAGGAGGAGGAGGAGGAGGAGAAGGAGGGTGAGGGGGAAAGGAGATGGAGGAGGAGGAGATGGAGGAGGAGGAGGGGGAGGAGGAGGACGGGTCGCCTAAGCCCTTCGGATAAACCATCCCCCTCTACGCCCCGCCGATGTTTTAGAATCGCGTGCTCCTCCGGTGGCTCGGTGGCCGACCTCCTGGAGGCAGGGGGGTCGAGCGGGGGGAGGAGCAGGCACAGGCGCAAAGCCCGAGACATCCCCCAGCAAGAACCCGGAGGGGCTCCGTGCGAGCGCGTGTGAGTGTGAGTGAGTCTGACTGTGGGTAGGCTGGAGTGTCAGGCCTCCCAGATGGGGTCGGAGTAGATGGGGTCGGAGGATCGCGCCGTATCGCCGATGCATCTGCGATGCGGCTCGATGTGGAGCCCGATTTGATTCACGTCGACGTCGGCGATGCATCGCTGACGTCGACGCTCAATCGCAGGAGCATCGCCGATGCATCGCCGATGCATCGGCGATGCGGCGCGATCCTCAGACCCCATCTGCTCCGACCCCATCTAGGAGGCCTCTAATGTCAGTGAGCATGAGGGCGAGTCTGAGTGAGAGAGAGTGCACGAGTGTGAGTGGTCGGTGTGTGTGTGTGTGTGTGTGTGTGTGAGTGGGTCCGAGCGTGCGTGGTTCTGAGGTGGGCGAGTCGGAGTTTGAGCAAGGGGCTCTGGCTGCGTGATAAGAGGAACCCCATCTCAGGACACGTGGAACCATCGCGACGTCGAGGTTCCAGCGCCCCCTCGCACATGGGAGAGTCCAGGGGTTTTGCCGTATCTGGACTGCAGGGCCCTTATGAGGGTCCCTCGGGCCCTCCGGGAGCCTTTCGGAGCCGTCCCGTGCCACCGTTTCGACCCTGAGAATCATCTTCGGGCTTTTCTCGTGGGCGCCCTTCTGCACACCTTAGGCGATACTTAAGAAAACTTAAATTTTCGGCCAGGGTCTCGATTATTCTTAATGTTTCAACGTAAATCCTAAGATTTTAATAGAACTTTTGGGTTTTTAGTCAAGTTCTGAGACTATGAATTTCTTAACCCATGATTTCTTACGCATTTCGCAAGGTGTATTCTTTTTTTGAGGCCCCCTTTCAACTATCTTGAGGCCGCTCTTGGGCCCCCTCGTGGGCGGGGGGGGGGCAAACTTCCACCCGACCTCGGACCCTCTCGGAACGCTCAGGTGCCCCCCCCTGAAACCATCTTCGGCCGCCGCTTGGCACCCTGTTGGAGCTCCCCTCGGGCCGTGGGGCTCTTCTGGGTCTCCTGCGGGGACCTCGTCGGGACCTGTCGGAACACCTCTTGGGGCCATTGGTGGCGCCACTCTCGGAGATCTTACGGGGCCCTCTTCGGTCTTCCTCGAGGGCCTTCTCGGGGCACGTCGTGGGGCCATGTCGGGTCTTCGCTTTGAGGCCTTTGCGGAGCCTCTTCGTCTCTTGAGGTCACTGCGGGGCCATTTTTCGGGTTTTCTTGGGGCGCCTCTTCAGGCCCTTCTGTGCCCGACCTGCGGCTTCTTTGGCCCTCTTCGAGCCTCTCGATGCGCTCTTGGGATCTTCTTGGGCTGCCCTTCGGAGCTCTCCTGGACACCCCTTGGGGCGCTTGCGGGGTCTTCGCAAAATGCCTGTCCTGGAATCGTCTCTTCTCGGTCCGCGCTCTTCGTTATTGCGTTTAATCCCTATGCTCGAACAATGTGTGGGTAACTCTTGCCGCTGCGTGTGTGCGTACGCATCTGCATGCAGCTGTGACACAGTCAAGGGCTGGAGCTTGCCAGAACTTCGGCGCGCCGCGAAGCGCGCGCGGTTCTAGTGGAACATGCGAACGCACACAGCAATTTCAGTTGCCATGCGCTGACAGCTGACGACCATGCCGTAGCTGCACCGCCTTCTGGGCGGAAGTGGCAAGTCATGGGAGTCTCGTAGGTCCTCGCAACTCCACCCTCAGAGCGCACTGGAGTTCGCTGGCGTCTGGTGGTCGATGAGAAAGCGCCGACAGAGCGTCGGCCAGCGCCGATTCTGCGCCGACGAGAGCGTCGAGTGGCGTCGGTTGGCGTCTGGCGTCGGTTACAGTCAACGCGCATAGTACGGATGGGCAACCTTCCCAAGGGAACCTTGCATCCTTGCCCCCTCGGCCCGTCCTGGGCCACTCTCGTTGGCCGCGCCCCGCTCGAAGAGCTTCGAAGTGGGCGCCCACGCGGGAGACCCACCGACCCGTAAATTCCATGTCAGCGTTTGCTTGCGAAGAGGAGGGGGAGGAGGGGTGGGTTCAGGTGAGTTGGTGCACCAAGGACGGGAAGTCCCAGGACTCCAGCTTGGTGGCCGGGCCGCGCGGGGGGGGCGGCTCCACAAGCACCAACCTCATCTCGCACTTTATTGCGGCACGCCGCGCCGCTCGCTGCAACAGTTGCTGGCCAGGATTTGAATTACGCGCCTGCTCCCTGGCATTCTTCGGTTTGGCCGGCACTTTTCGAACGTTTTGGCCACGACTGATGAGGGGACCGTCCATAGCATCACATGTAGCATATCAGTGGCATGCTCAGGGCGTTTCGCTTTTATCGGATATACCCCGGCTTCCATCGCGGTCTTCACACGATTTGCACCGTGCCTGTTTTTTTCAGTATCTATGTTTATCTCCCTCTCGTTTTATCATCTCTTGCTTCTGCTCTACATAGAACACGTGTAACCATAGATATGTGTATACCGATTCCCGCGCTGGGCAAATGTGTTTGTTGATGCTCAGGAGCGCACATCACGACGCCGCCATTTCCATCTTTCTCCTGGCGGCTTGCTCCAGTTTCTCTGGAGATTTGTTTTCACTTCCCGGGCAATAGCGGGTATTACCAGGGGGGAGGAGGGGGCCGGTAGCATCAGGTTTCGCGCCGGCGCCGTCTGGCAGCGCTTAGGAATAATCAAAGACAGCGCTGATAGCAGACACCTGTCGGGATCTGCTGTGCAGAACGCGCATACTTCCAGGGATCTGCCAGGGCAGAGCGCCTTCCTTCTTCTTCTCCTCCTCTTTCAGCTTTTTCTCTTCTTCCGCCCTCATCCCTCCTTTGTCGTCGTCGTGTTCCTCCTCTCGTCGTCCTCTTCCTCTTCATTCTATTGCAAGGCGCCTCGCACAAGGACAGAGCAAGGGAGGGGGGAGTCGCGAGGAGGAAGGGGGCGGGGGAGATGGGGCCAGGCCGAACCGACCTTTTTGATTCCACTTATGTTTTCGATTCGTGCTCTGGGAGGATTCTCGGCGCTCCTGGAAGGACCCGAGACGGGA